GGACCTGACCCCACCACGCCCGGGCGCGCAGTGCAGCGCCGATCTGCTGCCCTGCGCGGGAGCGCACTTGCAAACTTGGTGGAGGTGCCCTGCGCGTCCTGTTGTGTAACCTCTGCGCCGCCAGCTGGACCGGGAAGTTGCCCGCCCGTCCTTCAGCTTGATTCAGTCACAACCCCGGGGCGAATTTCATGGCCCGCGACGAACGCGCGGCCACAGCCGGCGTGGGCAAGCTCCCGCGAGCCCCGATTCGTAGGGAGCTCCCGCGCGCGGTCCCTTCCCCTCACCCGCGCCTCCGATGCGCCCTGACCCTCTTGCCACTGCCGCCCGCTTGCCGCCGTCTGCCCCTCCGAGTTACTGCTTGAGTTGGAGAGCAAAGGATGACCGAGGTGCCTTGGCCGGCTGTCCCCAACGGGACGGACACAGCCTTCCTGGCTGGCCTGGGCTCGCCTTGGGGAAACAGTACAGTCGCCTCCACAGCAGCAGTTGCCTCTTCATTCAGATGTGCCCTGACCAAGACCGGCTTCCAGTTCTACTACCTGCCTGCCGTCTACATCCTAGTGTTCATCATCGGCTTCCTTGGCAACAGCGTGGCTATCTGGATGTTCGTTTTCCACATGAAGCCTTGGAGTGGCATCTCCGTGTACATGTTCAACTTGGCTCTGGCTGACTTTTTGTACGTGCTCACCCTGCCAGCCCTCATCTTCTACTACTTCAACAAGACTGACTGGATCTTCGGGGATGCTATGTGCAAGCTGCAGAGATTCATCTTCCATGTAAACCTCTATGGCAGCATCTTGTTCCTCACCTGCATCAGCGCACACAGGTACAGCGGCGTGGTGTACCCGCTCAAATCTCTGGGCAGGCTCAAGAAGAAGAATGCCATTTATGTCAGCGTGCTGGTGTGGCTCATTGTGGTGGTGGCCATCTCCCCCATTCTCTTCTACTCTGGCACTGGGATTCGGAAAAACAAAACCATCACCTGCTATGACACCACCACCGATGAGTACCTACGAAGTTATTTCATCTACAGTATGTGCACAACAGTGGCCATGTTCTGCATCCCCTTGGTGCTGATCTTGGGCTGTTATGGATTAATTGTTAGAGCTTTGATTTACAAAGACCTGGACAACTCCCCTCTCAGAAGGAAATCCATTTACCTGGTAATAATTGTTCTGACAGTGTTTGCTGTGTCTTACATCCCTTTCCATGTGATGAAAACGATGAATTTGCGGGCACGGCTGGATTTCCAGACCCCAGAAATGTGTGCTTTCAATGACAGGGTTTATGCGACTTACCAGGTGACACGGGGTCTAGCAAGTCTCAACAGCTGTGTGGACCCCATTCTTTATTTCTTGGCTGGAGATACTTTCAGAAGGAGATTGTCCCGAGCCACCAGGAAAGCTTCCAGGAGGAGTGAGGCCAATTTACAATCCAAGAGTGAAGAAATGACTCTCAATATTTTATCTGAGTTCAAGCAGAACGGAGACACAAGCTTGTGAAGGCACAAGACCCAAACACCTCACTTTTGTAATGTGGTAGGATGCTCCAAAACCAGCTGCTTTGCTTCTCCTTAAGTTCCTAGCAATGTTAGAGAATACTCCAAACTAGAAAGTAGTCAGTAAAAAAAAAAAAAAAAAAAAAAGCATCAATTTGTTACACATTCACATTTATCTTTCCTATAAGCTCCTTTCTTACTTACTAGAAGTATGTGTAATCAAACAGTACTACCTAGATAAACACTCCCTCTTCTTCCTTTGAAATTCCTAGGCTTTTCTATTTAAAGTGTGTTTGCATGTGTAGCAGAGCAAATTTGATATTAAAAGTTTCTCCAAGAAAACTGGCCACCTGGAATTTGAGTTTTTGATTTGTCCAGCCTCTGTTGCTGTGAATAACTCATGATATAACCAAACTAAAATCTATATGTTCAAAAACTGTTTGGCACAGTCTAATGAAACACTAGTCAGTCCATTCAGTAATGAGTAGACACCTGTGGTACATGTCTTTCAGTTCCTCAGAAGCATAGACTGTGGCTGATAATGCCTTTGGGGAATTGAATAGAAAAATAAAATCAATGAACTTTTATGAGTGGAAAATGAGTATTTCCAGTTATTTCTGGAAAGCTGATTACTGCACATTGCTTGTTTAATGTTTGGTGGTGGGAGGCTGTGGATGTTATATTGTTGGCAAAATGCACTCAAAATAATTGATGTGCATGTGTTTTTCTTATAAATATTGTGGACCGTTAGGCTTCCTGGGATAAAAAGTTCTCACTCGCTCCACTGCTGTGCAGTGTCTTTGGACTTTGTGTTCCAAGAGAAGTGCTCCCTCACATCTGTGAAAACAATTTTGAGAAATCACAGTTAAATTTTAGACTAAAGGTTGGTTGGGTGAAGCAGCAGATCTGTTAGATGGAGAGCTACTGGGCAGGACTGTCAGAGTTTCAGAGGGCCATGGTTGACAGACATTTGCAATGCAGCTGGGGGTGGGAGGGAGAGTTCAAGAAGAAGGATGCAAAACTAAAATAATGGGAAGGTTCTTTTTGTTTCTTTAAAGTTCTTGAAAACTTTAAATGCAGGCTGAAATGTGAATGTAAGTAAGTTATAGGTGTGCCAAGAGGATGGAAAGCTGAAATCTTTTAATGAATTGTATTATTTTAATGATTCTTAAAATGAAAAACATTTGCAAAGAGAAAATAAAGGAAATTAACTTTTAAGTAAGTACCCGAAGCACCATAAAACTGAAAAGAAGACCATCATAGTCAGGAGATAGCCAGGGTTTTCTACACTTGTCTGCTAGATAGTAGTGGAATGTTTGTAAAGGATACTGAAATTTAAAAATAATTTCCACTGAATAACGAATTTTATAGTCCTTGGAATGGTCAACTTCAATTTGATTAAAATAATGAGGAAATAAAATTGTCACACATAAATAATCTGATGTCCCAGGAACTTTAGCTGTGAAAGGTATTCTTTATAGACTATCAATCTTCTGAGTTTGTAAATGAAGGTAGGAAGCACTTTTAAAGTATTTTCTAAGGAAAAAAAAAACTTTTGTGCCCAGTAGGATATAATGACATAAAATTCATGGTTTGGTGTCAAGTTTTTACACACAAGTGACTGGCCTTCTGGGAGATCTTTGAAGTGCTTCCATTTGCCCAGTCTGTTTTTACCCAGGTCCATGAAGAAAAGCTGCATTTAGCCTTTCTATCTAGTGGTTCTTTCCCACATTCACTCCTAGCATAAAAGCCACATGAAGAAGACACTTTTGGGGTCCCCTACTTTTGTGGTTTTCAGAATTCCCAAGTAGAAAGATTCATGCAGCATTTTCTGTTTCCGAATCCTACAGACAAAATCTAAAATACATCCTCATTATGTTGACACTTCACAAATGTTCAGTGGCTCAAAAGTAATTTTGTTAAACTAATCCAAATGGAAATTTCAGAAATGCACAGCTCAGTGATCCATATGTCTTTATCATTTCCTCATTATTTAATACAGATTTCTCCATTTGAGTCCCAGGATGCCAGACTGATGTTGGATATGTGTTAAATGCACGGTTCAACTTTCATAAATGGTTTTGGGAGTGTGTTTTAGTGAGAGGAACTTTGCCATGTTCCTCATTCTGAGGATTAGGCTCAGGTCTTAGTGGATACTAGGCAAGAGTTCATCCACTGAGACACAGTCCCAGCCCCTAAGGAAGAACACTTTCTTTCCAAACTTGTTTCATCATATAACATAGTGACAAGACTGACTGTGCCAACTTCTTCCAGTTCAAAAGAAGTCCCTGAGATAACCTGTGCATGTATAGGTCAGGATGAAGCAACATGCTATTAGCCAAAAGACCAAATTGTGCCACTTGATATGAGTAAGCATGTCCATAGTAAAGATAGATCTGTTGACATTTGGGTGAATGAATTAACAAGTCATGAAATTTCACACTACAAACTGTTTTCATTCCAAGTTCAAGGGTTTGTGTGTTTGTTGTTGGTTTTGTTGTTATTCCTTATAAACTGTTCTTTGACTCTTTGAAGGTTGCTTTGAACTCATATTGAACTAAAGTGATTAAGAAGAAACTTAGCACATAAGAGTTCAAAATTAAATCCATAATGTGGATACTGAGAAGTTGTTGGTCTCCTGATACTTGAAGCCCATTCTTCAAGAACAGCAAAGGTGACAGGACATCCATTTGTTGACACCATGGGTGCTGTGGCAAATCTTGAAAATCAGACAGTGAGAACTGTTTGGAATACGTTTCTGTGCTTCCTAGGACTCTTCTATCTAGTCCTTGGATAAAATACTCAGTGATCACCAGCTGTGGTATGGACAGGTTGAAACCTGAAAATCTCTACTTACTCAGCCAGGACACTAAACCAGCTTTTGATATGACAGACACCATTACTTAGCAACAGCTAGAATTCAACCAGTGAGAGGAGTTAGAAGTTTTGGTACTAGTAAGTATGGATTGAAGCTTTCCTTTTACCAGTTGAATGTAATTATTGTAAGTGTATTTATTGATGAAGCTCATGGGCCTTCAGCTGTACAGACTGTAAAACTTTCTCGAAGGTACAACATACTGATGTAAATTTATTTATTGCAATGTATAATATTCAAATGTCACACTGGCATATTTTACAATAATATATAATTCTAGATAAAATGACAACTATATTTAAGATGTTTTTCAGATATTAGTATTGAACATTTAAGACTAGTTTGTATTTAGATCTAAACAAATCTGCTTTATTATGTGTTTAATTTTCCCTGGATTTTGGACTTGCATGGTTTCCTTTTCTTTAGGGCTCTTGTTCTACAGACATAATTTGGTATTAGATTATAAGATTCATAGTGAGTGTAGGATATTTTAGACAGGTTCTGTATTGTGTACATTATATATATTTATATTATAAAAAGTTTGTTTTGTCTTTTCAGAAAGTTTAGAATATTGCCCTAGCTATGGTTAGAGCTTCCACTGCCAAAGGCTGAAGGCTTGTCTCCTATTCAAAACTAATGATTTAAAGTCTAGTGGGTTGGGCGTTATAGATGTAACTTAAGAATTTAAAGACAAACTTTAGTGAAACAGGGAGAGAAAAGTGCAGCAGGTAGTTTTCTGCTAGATCTTGAAGCTTTGTATTGTATTTTTTTTCTTATGGTAACAGAGTGCAACCTTTACTTCTTTGAGGTGGGGTTTTTATGTAACACTACCAACAAGTTCAGCATTGCAATTGATTTTAATCTGTTCTCTTCGGGAAGTTGGTAACTTTAATGCCAACATTTTTAGTGATAACTATATCATTTGGCTGCTAAATTCTGTCACATTTTTAAATGTAGGTGCATTTATGTTACATATCAAAATTTGTGCATTTGAGTTATGTTGTTTTAGCGATTTTGCAAGAAAATTTTATTTTTATAATATCTGTGATTTTAATGTAGATGATCGAAGCAGATTTCTTTGTGGTTACCAGTGCTATTGAGTGGTATGGAACAGTGTTACTTGACGTTCTGAGCCTTCTTGGGTTCATCTGCATCAGTGGTAGTTTAGCAAATTTGAACTGATTGCATATAATTGTCTTTGTAATAAAGAAGAGGTATACTTCCTGCAAAAGCACAGAATTGTTTGACTGTAGGAGGCTGCAGAATCTCTCATGTTTCTCTCTCTCTCTCTCTCTCTCTCTCTCTCTCTCTCTCTCTCTCTCTGTGTGTGTGTGTGTGTGTGTGTGTGGTGTCTAAGGCATGGCAGCCAATCTTGTATCTGCTATTTATAGTAACAGCAGTGCTTCATAATTGTGGTCATCAGAATTATACTTATCATAGACAAAACTGAGAAAGATTCAATAAAACTATGAAACGTGGTGATGGTGTCTGTGTTATTACACTGTTCTTGAAAATACGTTTCCTCACATTTAACATGGGTGGTAGTGGCTATGCCTTTAATCCCAGCACTTGGGAGGCAGAGGCAGGTGGATCTATGTGAGTTCAAGGCCAGCCTGATCTACATAGTGAGTGCCAGGTCAGGCTCTAAAGCTACACAGAGAAACCCTGTCTTAAAAAGCCAAAAAAATAGTAATAGTAATAATAGTAATAATAATAATAATAATAATAATAATAATAATAATATACCGAGTGGAAAATGCTGCAGGATACATTATATTAATTCGGTAATTTCTTAAAATGACAACTGGGCTATAAAATTATATGAAAAAGAAGAATCCATGTGTAAATTAATCCCTAAGATTATTATTATTTCGTGTTTCAAAAAGGATACAATCTATTTGAGGGGTGGTGGTTTTGAGAAAGGGTTTCTCTATGTAACTCTAGCTGTCTTGGAACTTGTTTCATAGACCAGGCTGACCTTGAACTTACAGACATCTGTCTGCTTCTGCCTATCCATGGAAGCAATTACGCTAACCGTCTTTTGTAAGTTTCATTTTCAACTTATATTGATTGCTTTTGCCAATTGTAAGAAACACACACACACATACACCCGCACACTTGCACATGTGCACACACACACACACACACACACACACACACACACACACTGAAAATGGTCTCAATAGAGAAGGTAATGTTGCAATGATCCTGTACTGGCTTTTCTGTCGTCTTCTAGAACTGCCCTGTAACAAATTCTTAGGGAGATTTGGACAGGACATGCAAATCTCCATCAGCCCTTAAGAAAAAGGTAAATCCATAGAAAAGTCTTTATTAGATGCATTGGACAGACTGCACTATTTGTGAGATCAACTTTCATAGTGTGTGTGTTTGTGTGTGTGTGTGTGTTGCTGTGTTGCTGTGTATTAGAGTGTATATGTGCATTTGACTATGTATTGGGATATATGTGTGCTCAAGGAGTGTGTATGCTGGAGTGTGTGAATGTGCATGTGTGCTACAGTGTGTACGGGAGTGTTTGTAATTCATACTCAGGAATAATTGTCTTGCTATTTTAAGACTTTCTTCTAAAGTTTTAACAACTTTGGCTTTCTAAATCACCTTAAGCTTAGAGTTACAGAACATTTGTCTGCAAATAAAAGTGCATCTTAGTTCTCCTCCTTCTGTTAATATGTTAGAAAATTTAAATACTCTTTTCAGGAAATGTAGGATTCTGCCCACAAATAGGGTTAAAGCTTCCATTTCCAAATGTAAAAGCTGTCTCTATATTCAGAGCTTATCTGTTACGGTCCAGAGATCTGACAGCACAAGCATTGTAGACACAGCAGATGTCACTTGAAATCTGTGTTAATGTTTTTCCCATGCTTGTTAACCCTCCAAAGTTGCAGTGCTCTGGGCTGGTCCTGGGGTCGGCCCTGAGCAGTCAGCCTAGCTGTTGGGACTGATAGACAGTCCAAACCAGCAGCTGTGTTGTACAACTGAACAACTGGCTAGACCACAGTGACCCAGGAACAGAGCTTTGGATAGGACAGGGATATGGAGGCAAATGGACTGTCTTTCATAAGGAGTAGGGGAAAATTCCTCAATACTTTTATTTTATTGCTTGCTGGTTAGAAAAGACCGGTGTGAAGATGACAAGTCCTCCATGATGGGCTAAGACAGAGAACTTCAAGATGATCCAGTAAATTTTGTGACTTTGGTTTACAGGTAGAAGTAAAATTTCCATTCAAAGGCATAGAGAGGAAAGAACACACTAATTAAGGGTTATGAGGGATGAGCTTCAACAAAGGAAATAGAATAGAGAATAGTATTGATAAGTATGGATATGACTTCTGTGTGTGTGTGTGTGTGTGTATTTATGTCCTAGGTTTTGTTATTTTGTTTTACTTTTTTGTTGTAGACATTACATAAATTGTGAATTACCCATAAGTGACATGCATATCTTTAGAAACAGGATGAGACATTTGTCTTTCAAAACTATTTTTAAATAATTATGAAGGTAATTGTTTGACTTTGTTACATGCAATCACTTTTTAAAAGCTGTTGATGTTATCGTTTTATAGTCATAATATCCAAAAATGTGTATTTGAAGCTGAAGGGACTCTTGCTAGCCTAAGCATGGCAAACATGGCTCTGACAAACCTTGCCCTTGTCCCCCATACCCTCTGCCTTGAAACAAAACAAAACAAAACCTAGATTACATTTCTAAAGTTAGGCCTGGTCACTTCCTCCAGAGGCTGACTACAAAATTCATCCTATCAAAACAGTGAAGTTCAGCAACCAAAAGCCATAATTGGCTTACTGAATTAGCATACCCAATTAAAATTAAATACCTTATCCCAATGCAGGCTTTCCCCTCTTACCTTCATAAGCCACCATTTTCTTATGTGCTATCTCTCTCTCCTCTCTATACAGAGGCAGTCCCTTGTCCCCTGCAGAACAATTCACCCCCTTCACTTGTTCCTTTCCCCTTCTCCCTCATCCTCCATCCCCTGTCTTTGTCTCTCATTCCCTGCCCTTTTTCCCTCTGGGGCAAATAAATCTCCTTTGTGCTGAGAACTTGGTCTTGGGGTGCTTGAGACAAGTTTACGGTCTCTACAGAAGTCATTGTACCTGATTTTTACAAGGGTTGACAGCATAACTTTTCATATCATATCTTTAGTTTTGGACCATCACCTTTTTCAGTGTAAGAGGCTGAACTTGCCATCAGAAAACCTCAGCTCAGAACTCAATGCTGCTACTTATAGCTTGTATTCCATCATCAGGTCATTTAAACCTTTTCGGCTCTGTATTCCATATAAACAAGAAGGGATTAATAATAGCACCTTACATAATGTTGTACAGAGATTCCCCACAGTTCACACTCACACAGCAGGAAAACACTCTAGGGTGTTTCTGCTGCTCTTTCTTTTAGACTCAATGAAATCACACTGTTCTTACTTAACAGTCTGTAGGCAGGTGCAGCTTTGCTGTCATTGCTTTAGACTTCTGTCTCCTTTCACACTTGGAGGCTTTCTGGGTCTCCCCATATCCTCATGGGATTGTAAGACCATGTGGACACATCATATTGTTCTTGTGCTTACTTCCTTGGATGCTTAAAGTCATAGTAAGTAAGAGGTCAACATTTTTATGCTTTGTACTATGCAGTTGACACTGTGAGACACAGATGCATAAGATAAAGTGTATTCAGCTAAAAGCACATTAAAGGAGCATCTACTGACCTCCCTCATCAGGCCATACCTCTTGAGTTCATGGTTTATTTTCAGTCACCACAGTCCAGAGTCTGGTCTTCATTTGTGCAGATCCAGAAACTTGATCTCAACAGTTCATCTAGAGTTCACCAACACTGAAGGACTGACTCACACCAAGCAAACTGACAAGAAAATCATTTACCAGCTAGATTGCCAATTCTTAATGTACAATGGCCATATCCCAGTCACAATAACAGGCATCTGCCTTTTTGTTTAAGGGGAAGGATCTAATTATATATTAGAAAGATGCCTGCAAAGCTTGAAATAAGAATAAAGATTGTGACATTCTTGAGAAACTTGTCTGAGAAGGAGAAGCCAGCTGAAGGAATGACATGCCCCCAGAGACTCTGGCCTTGCTATCCAGTATCTGTTTTTTACTTAGGAAACATCAGCTGCTTTGTTTCTTCCTGGAACAACTTAACAGTGCATGGGATGAAACAATCACTCATTTATTTATTTTAAAATTAGATACTACACATCATTATTTATTGAATGCAGCTTATGTCTTAGTGATATCACTCACCTGAGAAATACAGAAGGAAGGCAATTGTAGGAAAGGCCACAATGCTTTCTTGTTGGGAAATACACAGTATAGACATGCAGCAGTACAATATCATTGCAAACAGTATTCCACAGTTCAGGACTGACTTATTACAAGAGATAGAGGTTCAAGAATCATCCCTGTGCAAATATTAGCTGTAATCAAGAAAGTAGCAACAGCCTTCCAGGGAGTATGTGCAGAGAAGAAAAGATCAATAGAGGAAGGAGGTCAGTGGGCTCCAGCTGTAGCTACATCAACAAAAATGGAAGAACTAATGTAAGCAGGAAGAAATAAAGTCATTGAAGAACCAAGACAGCCCCCAAATCTGGAGGAAATCTACTTCAAAAACTAGCCTTGTAGAAGATGTAACTCTGTGTCACATGTCATGAAAGCAACCACAAAAAGTCTATGAGATTTGTAGATTCCAAAGCTTGATGTTAGCAAAGGTTCATCTAAATCATAAAGGAGTATTTATTAATGATTGCCCCAGAAGCTATTGGTGAAGAGAAAAGGCATTATAGGTCATTGGTTTGATGTAATAGGGAAAGAAATGGAAAACCGGGTAAAGAGATTTCCTGGAGATGCTGAGGAAGGAAGCTCTATGTGGAAATTGGGTGGCTGGAGGGTGAATTGAACATAACAAAGACAAAGGAAAGATCCAGCTGCATTACTGAGTCTGACAGTAAAGGCCATGGGAATGCAGAAGATCTATCGTGTGATTCTGGGACAATAGCCAGATGCCGAGTAGCAGAAAAGCTATAGAAGTTCTGTGGGGAGATGGATTTGAAGTCAGATAGGTAGATGACAGCATCAGTAAGGAGGCAGTTAGCAAGAATTAGCTGGCATTATTCCAAAAAAGAAGCATTTGTGTGGCAGTTGAATAATGTTAAGCAGCAAGAAGATGGAGGTTCTTGCCTGGTGTGTAAGGTAATAGGTTAGGAGACATGGCATTGACAAGGAAAAGGAATAAGTCTGTGTCCTAGAATGCATGCTAGAAAAGTTAAGCAGAGGGTGAATTGTTTTATAAGGTTCTTCAAAGAAGATGGACAGAGACAGAGAAACTGGGTCCAGCCATTCAGCCATTCTGCTCACACCAGCCAGACATCTTACATACTAGTGAAGGAGAGTGATCATACCTCCAGAGGATCCAGCTACCCATAGCCACACAGAC